TCTTCACTTCATCATAATCCCTTTTAACCCTCTTAGTGCTGGAAATAGCCCTGGGTCACCTCTGCTGTTGTGGTTTTTTATGGGTGGATTTTGTTCTAAACTTGCACGGATGCTCTGCCATATAAGACAGGCAGGTTCTTGTAGTTTCCACGCAGTCTTTGTTTTGGCTGCCTCAGTAACATTGTCGACTTGGTTCTTGATCTGGACAATAAAGATGTATCTTTTCTTATCTTATCTTATCTTGCATTCTGAAAACTAACAGTTAATTATAATTATTTTTTTAGCTTAAAGGCTACAAGCTTTGTTTTAGTTGATTTAGAAAGCTTTGGGGGAATAATTATGTAATATCTATCATGTAGGATGGTAACTGAGTGTAAGGGATGTGCTTTTATTGAATATATGTTTACAAAGAGGTTCGTGGGTGGTTGGCGGGTACTCTGGTGTGGTTTGCTTCTTCTTTCCTATCAAACATCTATCGTCCTGATCTCTCCTCCTCCTTTTTTTGTGTTTGTTACTCTCTTGTAACACCTCTAATCTTCGGCACATATATGACCTTGTTGTGTTGTGAATGATGTAAGACTCTTACTAAAACTAAAAGAACGAGCTTGATGTGGTTGTGGTAGGTTAGGCAACAGAAATTGAACAACACAAGTCCTCATAACTTTAGATAGGTTTGTAGGAACACAAGTCGCCAGTTTATAAACTAAAACCTCACAGTTCAATATACTCACTCACATCCATCTTATACACCCTCACCACTCCGAGGCACGAAGTAGTCGCATTATGTTGTTGCTGTTGAAAAAAGTGCTATGTTGCTAATACGGGGTGCCTTTGGGGGGGGGGGGGGCGGGTCAAGTCTGTTTGCTAGCCAGATTGAGGGCGCAAAGCGGTTATCATGGCACAAACGCGCCTGTTTTCAGGCAACGAGTCGGGCGATCATCCTGACCTGACCCGATCCCATCCGCAATGGGACCCGATATAAGTTGCTGCAGGTCGGGAGTGGTTGCATTAGGAACTTGTGCCAATATTGTGAATCTACTGCTTATTTTAAGATATTCCCATACGCGATTTTGAAAAGTAACGTATGACAGAGTCTCACACAGAGCAGTCGAAATGAAGAGTCTGGGGAACACTATGGTTGTACTTCCTAGACGTCAACGGACACACACAACTTCATTTTATCACCGTTCGCCCTGTTCACCCTGGTGTTGTCTATAGGCCACCGAGAACGGCCCTCCTCTTGTCTCTGTTCTGGAGATAAAACAGACACATCGTGCTTGTGAGAAAATGGGTGCATCTAGTACCAATACTGCTGTAAGCTGACAAAAAGCCTATTTTCATTTTGGCACCAAAAATGTCTATTTGCTAAATCAAAAGCCTGATCAGTTACCCTACTTGTGTGAAAAAATCAAAGTGAAACTGTGAATAGTTTTTAATAAATTGGAATTCATGTTTCGGAAGCTCTCTAGTTTTCAATGGTTAAGCTGACAAAAAAAACCCCTTTTTTTTTCGAAACGGCTGTGAATAAAAGAAGGCGTTCTGTCAGCTTATCGCGACCTCAGTGCTTTCTTGTCCTATTTCCATTTTTGATAACAGTGAAAGCAGTTCGTAACAAAGAGTGAGCTTAAGAAGAAGTCACATTTTCAATGTTTAAAAAAAAAAATGGAGAAAGGACAAGAAAGCACTGAGGTCGTGTCATGGCAGAATAGTAAGTACATCTTGTTACCACTTTGCCGTCACGTCTCGCTAATTGACAAGAACGCCGAACTTCCCATCCCGTTACAAAATGCCGATCGACGATGTTTACCACCCCATATCTATGGATTTTCCCCCAAATGCTTGTGATGGCAAAGGTTTTTTCAACTATAATATGTGAAGCATGCTGACAAAATGAGTTACTTCTCGCAGTCCATGGATGGAGATATGGGACAAAAATCAGCTCAGGGGTCCAATTTGTAGATCATTAACGGATTCCATTTTCTTCAAGTTTAACATTTCTTTCATCATTTCATACAAATACGTTGTATAAATTCAACCCAAAGAATTGACGTATCTATGTCCATAGGGCTACAGTCTGAGAAGTAACTCATTTTGTCAGCACGCCTCACATATGAGCCTTGAGATGACAAAGTGTTAAACGTTTATTTGCCCACCCCTGCTCCTCAGGCTTCGACACAGACACACTGGACGTGGCACATTTCAGGGGAGGAGAGTCGGAGGCCGTGGCACGGCTACACAGACATCTGGAGAGAAAGGTGAGAGTTGATGTTGTTACTGTCGGTACCTCCACCACATGGGGGGATGGGGGGAGAAATGTGGGCCTCTGTTGGGTGTCAGACTAATAAACTTAACTGCCTAAAAAAGGGTTGAGGGTGGGGGTGGGGAGCTGTATAAGTGTCTTGACAGTGTGTTGGATTTAGTGGGAGTTATATGGTCCCTTTTAAGCACAAGTGGGCTATCCCGAAAAATGCTGTTTTGAGAAAATTGAAGGTAAAGTTTTTCCCCCTTTTTCAATTTCTTTAAAAGACAAGGAGAGTTTTCTCTATAACCAAACAAATATACACACCAATGAAACCAAACTTCTCCTATAGGTAGGGCAGGGCCCACTTTTGGTGTAGGTCAAGATTTTTGGAAATCCCCGAAATCTGGGTTAGCCCGCTTGTCCTTAAAAGTGATCATATAGTGATCAAAAAATTAATTTTCATTTGTCTATGTGGATAAACTTGTGTATAACAGTGAGTTGTGCATGAAATAAGTTACAAGTTTCAATACTCAACAAGGTACATGATAATGTCAGGAGACTGTAAACAATTTCCGAGACATACTATTTTATTGCTGGTGAGCGAGTGTAGCAGCCTGTGTTGAGTTATGATCATCACGTCTCGCTCAGTGACACAGCTATGACCACCTGTTGAAAGGATGATTATTTACCCATAAGAAACAAAGTTTTTTGTTTGCTGTAGATTTATGAGAGGAAAATTATGTAGTGAGACTTAAAACTCCTGTGCTTATCGGCAATTTTATTATTTTGAACGGTTCGAAGTGTTTTTTTCCCAGATCAGTTTGACCCCATCGATCTTTTTCTCCAAGCGTGTTGGATTTGAGCTCAGCGTCTTCTATCTGTCTAGGAGGCGTCGCCTGTCATTGGCTTGTCTGTGTTCAGGGCACAGACTGTTAACTCATAATGTTCTCTCACTCGATAGTTGTCTCAAACGTACTTAGTAGTTTGACGAACACGGTCTATTTTCATACTATGTGTTCGTAATAAAGAACGTAAGACATAAAGAACGTAAGACATAAAGAACATAAGACATAAAGAACATAAGACATAAAGAACATAAGACATAAAGAACATAAGACGCGTTGCCTCTGCCTTTTGGTATGGAAGACAGTGTGCTTTTGTTTTAGTTTTTTATCAAGAGGGAAAGACTTTTTAGGTTTAAAGTGCTGTATTCTTACAATGCTGTATTCTTTAGGATTTTCATCAACACAAAGTAATTGTTAGTGCTTTAGACAAATGCATACTTAGTAGCTGAACCGTTTAAATTATATACTACAAATTCTGATAACTCTTTTGCTTCTGCAAGATCGAAAAAACTTTTGGGGTTGTAACAGTACAACTTGAGATCACAATTCAAGTTTGAATCCTCACAAAGGACTCTCTTAATTCTGGTCGTTTTTACAGATCATTGTTTCTGTTTTGTCCAGTTAACCAGTTACGCTAACGTTATGTTTCTGTGGTTGCAAGCCCATAAAAAGTCAGACTTACCATGAGATTGTGAGAAAGCTTTGTGAACGTGTAGTGTGTAGGTAGGTAGGTAGGTAGGTCCAGCCTGTCCCGTACATCGACAATGTGCTCAAAGATGTACAGATCAAGTTTGTATTCCAAAGAGTCTGATACTTGTTCTCTGCTCTCTACCCACCCTCCTCTCGGCCCCGTCATTCGCCCTGCGCCCTCCCCTTCCTCCTCTCTCCACCCCATCCTCCTCTCTCCCCCTTCTCTCCACTCCCTCTCCCTTCCCCCCACCCCCAACCCCTTTTTCCTTTCCACCCCCTCCTCT